TCATCCCCGCCCCCCCAGCCTTTGGCTGAATCAGTCCTCTCTCTCTCCCAGGCCACATCCCACAGCCTAGCCCACCCAAAGCTTTCCTCTCGCAAATTGCCCCCTCACATGGGAAGAGCTCGGAGGGACGAAGGAAAGGTGTTGCCTCTGCCTCACCTGGGGATCCCACTCTCTTCCTGCTCCCAGATGGTAGAGCGGGACCTCTCTCCTGGGGCAGGATTGTGGGAATACCGTGGTGGTACAGAGAAAAGGTTTTCAGCAGCTGCCCCAGGTGCTGAAGGAGCAAGAGTAGCTGATGCATGTGACCATGGTGCCGCCTTCTGGCCAGAGGCCAAACTGCACCCTGTATCAGGGCAGCTGAAGCTGGGGCCCCAACTCCACAGAGATGATCTGGCCACAGGCCTGGGCTGGAAGAGCGCCTCTCTGAATGAGTGTGATCCTTCTGGAAGGCTGGCTCAAATGCTCCTGCTCAGGACATCCCCGGCAGCCAACATGCTGCTCTCCCCACGAGGCCATTCCTATCACCCGAGTAAGCCCGGCCCCCAGCACAGGCTCTCCTCCACGAAAGCGGGACCTTGTCTGGTAGACCCAGCACCTGGCACAGAGCAGAGGCCCCATCACTATTTGATGGACGAAACAAGAACGAGTCGGTGTCGCGGGGTACAATGTGAACAATTGAAAAGGGGGGAAAGGAGAGCCAGCAAAGGGATGCTGGGGAAGATATCCGAGGCGGAGGGACAGGAAATGACAAGGCCCCAAGTTGGGAGGCGGGGCTAAGGGGAGGCAAGACAGGTCATTGGAAGTGAGGAGGTCAAGTTGTTGAGACCGGGCCATGGCACTAGCTGTCTGCGGTCCCCTGGATTCTGTGGTCCCAAAGCCTGGAGCAAAGGATGGCCCAGCAGTTGTCATGGAAACAGGGAAAGCTGCCCACCTCCATCCAGACTTGCCCCGGGATCAGGAGCCTGTGGAGGGGTGTGCAAGGGGCGATGTGGCTCAAGGAAGAGGGCGGGAGGATGCTGGGAGAGGAAGAAGGCCACAGAGGGGCGTGTAGGCCTGGGAACCAGTGGGCGGACGCACCCACTCCCAGCTATCCGGAGGTGTACTGTGCACTGGCTGCTCTCCTCAGCGGAAGCCAAGCCCCCTGGCTCCAATGCCAAACTCTGATCCAGCCCCCGTGCTGAGACCCAGGCCAGCCCTGCCTTGGGTCTGACTGCCTCCCTTCAGGTCCCAAAGGTCAACAAAGAGAAGGTTCCTCATCACCCTCCACGATCAGAGCTGGCAGGGAGCAGAGGGGGCAGGGGTCACAGGAAGGAGGGAGGAGTGACCAGCTCACACAAAACTCTGAGGGTGCTCTCTGTGCTCCGGTTAGGGCTGAGGACTGGCCCTAGGGATTGGCCCCTGATGGACACAGAAGAAAGGCCTAGCAAGGCCAGGAGAGGTTTGCACCCCTCAAAAATGGAGGTGCGAGTGGCAGGAGCTGTACGGACCAGAAGACAGACCACTGCTCCTCACGACAGTAGCCATAACCAACCCGGCCTGTGTTCCCCCTGGCATGGAGCGCACAGGTTCCAAAGCCGCAGCACAGCAGAGCTGCTGGCGCCCCAGTGGCGCCCTCTCCTGGACAAGGGGCTCCGCCTCCACCCTCTGACCTTAGCCTTCTACATAGGAAGTTGCACACTGGAAACTCTCCGTCAGGTCACAGGCGAGGGAAAGGAAGTAGGGAAGATGTTGGAGGAGACAGCCCGGACTTTAGTCACCCTCCAGGCTACAGGCCTCCACTGGCTTGTGAGCCCTTCCCCACCTGACCTTGCACAGCGGGGGCACTGCATCCCATCCCTGGGGGCCCGGCCTCTGCCGGCCCCCTCTGCTGGCAGCCCAACAGAAAGCCAGAGCCACGCACAGGCCAGGCTCTAAGGTGGCAGAGCTGGCAGCCTCTTGCGGGCACTTTGGGGGTGGAGCAAGGACAGGAAGTTCTTGGACAATCAGGAACTTGTCTGCCATGATCGGAGTGACCAGCAGTTTGGGTGGCAGTGGACAAGGTCAAAGAATGGGGTCCCATGGGCAGTGGCTGTGCCTCCTTGGTTTCCTTCCCACAGGTGACACCCATCCCCTCCACGCTCATACCCCATCCCTGTCCCTTAGCCCTCCCTCCGGCTCACCACTGGCCCATTGCTCTGTCTGTCTTTATTGATTTGGGGGAAACCGGGGGCAGGGGGCTGGAGGGCCACGACACAAGCGGAACCACCCACAGTCAGCGAAGCGCAGAACAGCGTGCAAGGACAGCCTCAGGAGCCTCTTCAGCTTCTAGAGTGGCTGTGGCAGCGACAGGGAAAGGGAACCCTTGTGGACATGCCCCGCCAACCCCTGGGTGAGGGCGGAGCCTGGAGGGTGCCCCACCCCCACCCCAGTGCCATGCGCCCAGCAGAGGCCAGCCCCAGGGTACAGGGTACAGGGCATGGGGACGGGGGACTGAAAGGGTCCATGGGAAGGGAATCTGTGGGTCAGTGCTCTCGGCCTCAGCATCTGCCGGGGGTGGAGGAGGAGAGAGAAGTGTACAGGGAAGGAGGAGAGTCAGGAGGCACCCAGGCCTGCCCTCTGCCCCTGCTCCCGGTCAAGGCTCTCAGCAGCAGGGCCCACTGGGCCCTGTCACTGGGCCCCTCTCAGATCCTTACGGTCGCCGCAGTGACCAGCTCCTGCTGGCCCCTCTCTCGTAAGCTCCTCCCAGAACCCTGGCTCCTCCCTTTCATCTGTGCTGTCTGTCCTCAGCCCTCTGCTCTATGGGGTCTACCCCACTTAGCTCTTGGCCACATATGGCTCACCACCCTCTAAGCTCACCAAGGAGCCACCTCTCAGGGGGTACAGGGCCCACCTCCACGCACCTGGGCATCACCACTTGGGGGGCTGGCCAGCCCCGAGGCCCGGGTGGCTGTGGCGGACCATCTTCCGCTCTGAGGCTTCCTCACCCTCTGAGCTCTGCCCCAGCTTTCGGATGTGGTGCAGGAAGGAGGTAGCATTGAACGCTCGCTGCAGGGAGAGAAGGGTGTCAGGCCAGGCCCTGGCCCTGGCCCCAAGACTTCGAGAACCACACAGACCACTGGCGGCCCAGACCATGCCCATGGCCCTGAGGCTGAGGGACGGGGCAGGCGTGGGAGGGGTTCAGGATCGAGCTGAACGGGTCCACGGGTCCTGCCCCACACTGACCTTCCAGTGGGTCCGAGCAAAATTCTTCTGGATCTGCTCACTGACTGAACCCAGGATGTCCCTGTCAAAGGCTGCATCCCCAGAGATCCTAGGGGGAGGCCGAGGGTCAGTGGGGTCAGGGGGGGGGTCTTTGAGGGTGTGGTCCCTCCTCCTAGTCCCAGGACAGCTCGACAGGGGTCCCACTCACCAAAGATGCTGTAAGGCCTGCTGGCACGTGAACCTCTTCTGGGGGTCTCGCTCCAGAAGGTGTCGGATAAAGTCTTTGGCTGGAACAGGGAGGCCAGGTCAGCCCAAGCCATCCTCACCCCCTGGTCACTCCCTCCTCCCTTCCCTGAGCTCGGGGCCAGCCTCAAGTTCACCTGATTCTGAGATGTCATCCCAAAAGGGAGAGTCAAACTCGTAGCTGGCCCTCAGGATCTGGCTGAAGAGTTCGGGGTCGCTCTCGTCGTAGAATGGGGGGTACCCACACAGCCTGGCACCCACAGATGAATCATCCAGCTGTCCAACCCTCCCCAACCCAGCAGGGGGCAGGCAGGCAGAAGAAGAGCCTTCCCAGTGGTCACTCACAGGATGTAGGAGATGACACCCAGGGCCCACACATCTACAGCCTTCCCGTAGGGTTTCTGCTCCAAGAGCTCCGGGGCTGGGGGCCAGAGACAGACAGACGCACACCCGCGCACGCGCACACCAGCCTTCAGTGCTGCCTGGCTCAGCCTAGCCAACCCCAGGAATGGCCCACCGCCTGCCCTGCCCCTGGCGCCTCAACTCCTGCAGGGTCCCCCAGCCCCCTGGCCTCCAGCAAGCCTCGGGGCACCCCCTTCACTTACCCACATATCCTGGGGTCCCACAAGCGGTGCCCAGCATGTTGCCAGCTTGGATTTTGGAGAGGCCGAAGTCAGAGACCATGATCTTGGAGTCTTCGAACGGCGTGGCATACAGGAGATTTTCAGGCTATGACACAGGAGCAGCCAGAGAAAGCACCAGGTCAGCCCCGGCGTGTCTCCCTAGGCTAGGACAGGGCAGACTGCAGGGGCTGTGGCCCCTCAAGTCCCCCAGACCTCTGGTGCACAGGGAGGCTGGGTAAGGCCCCAGCAGGCGGGCAGGAGGACAGGCACCTTGAGGTCTCGGTGCACGATGCCCAAGCTATGCAGGTAGGAGACAGCACCAAGGACCTGGCCCACCAGGTGGCTGGCATCCTTCTCTGTGTAGGAGCCACGTTCCATGATGCGGTCAAACAGCTCTCCTCCCGTCACCCTGAGGGAAGACGGGGCTCAGTCGATCCAGGCCCCTTGGCCCTCACTCACTGCCCAGCCCCCAGCCTGTCCCTGCCCTCCTCACAGCTCCATGGCCAGGTAGAGATGGGAAGGGCTCTCATGGACGTCCTCCAGAGCCACGATGTTGGGGTGGCTGACCCTGCACGGCAAGAAAAAGCCCTTATGGGCCGCTGCAGCCCCCTCCGTGCCTCAGCGCTTCCTCCTACCTCTGCCCCCTTTCCTACCACAGGCCACCCCTGCCCAATCCAGCAAGGCAGAGCCCCAGTCCAGGCCTTCCTGGGGACACAGGGGAGGCAGGGGGCTCCACCCCAGGACACTGCCCTGAAGGCCTCGAGTGCTAGCAGCCTGGCCAGAGCACAGGCAAATACCTGCGGAGCACTGCAATCTCATTCTCCACCAGGGCCTCCTTGCCTCGAAGGGCCTTCTTGGGGATACACTTGAGGGCAACGAGGTGTGAGGAGCCCCGCTCCTGGGCCAGCACCACCTCAGAGAAGGCGCCCCTGCCAGAAAGATGGGGGAGGCGGGAAGGGAGGGGGAAAGGTGAAGAGGGAGAGGAGGAGAGGGGCAGGGGAGGGAGAGCAGAGGTGGAGAGAGGGAAGGGCCCCACTCACTGAAGCGGATGGGGAGGCCCTGTCCATCCCATGCCACTCATCTGCCCACACACGCGCATTCACCGACACACACGCACACACGCACACACGCATCATGCTCACTGACACACATTCAGTAGCACACTCACGCACACTCACGAGCCCAGCTTCTCCCGGATCTCATAGACGCTGCTGATGTCTTCCGTCTGTTTCTTGAGCAGCAGCATGTCTGAGGAGCAAGGAAGAGGTGCAGGGAGGCCCCCCTGGGCGAGGGGCAGCCCCGTCTCCCACCCCAAGCCCGGCAGTGCCTCGGCCACCCTCAGCGACAGCCCCGCTCCGGAACGCGGGTCCCCTATGATCCCATGCACCCTCCCTCAGCCCAGGTCCATCTCGCCCATCCCCCACCGCCCAGGTCGGCACTCCCAGGTGGACACCACCCACCGAGGCCACCGCACACACTGCTCCCCCTCCCAGATACACAGCCGCGATCCAGCAACCCCCCACCCCGGCACCCCGACGTCGATCAGCGCCCAGACTCCACTCTGTGCCGCCACATAACCGAGTCAGCCGCAATCAGCCGCCTTCCAGAAGGCTCCGTGCGCCCCCCGCCCCGACCCCTCCGGACCCACCCCCATGCACAGCGCTCACAGGGCCCCCCTCCGCCCCCAGGCCCAGACTGGCC